CAGCTGTGGAGAGCCAATGGAGCTGTTATCACAGAATGGGAAGGAATTCTCTGGAGTGGCAGCTGGGCTTCTTGGGGTCTTACCAATAATCACAGGAAACTGCAGTCAAATTGCAAAAATGGGGGAAAAGGATGCCAAAGGAGTCAAAAGGTGTAGGGTGCTTCAGTGAATGAGAGCCAGATTCCTGTTGAAGCCTTGATAAAATCAGATTTTAAAGCTGCATTTATTGATTTTCTGGCAACATTGACACATTTTCACCTTTTAAAGTAATAGTAAATGTGTTAACAAACAGTGTCTCACTGTATTAACACATTAAGGAAAACTTGCATTCATTAGAGTCGTGTTTCTTTCCACCCGACGAATTTGAGCCCAATATTCACTCTCCTTTTGGTTCGGTTTTGCTCTCCACCAACTCCTGAGGGAAATATATGGCTCTTTAGCTACTAAAATTTCCAATTTTCCAATTTGTTCACGAGTTAGCCGCTAACGCTGTCTGTCAGTCGTTTGGTGCTGGGCAGGCAGTGTACAGTGGATTGTTAGAGCTTTTCAGCAGAAAACAACTGCCTGTTGTGTCAGAAAATGACACAGACTTGAGCGATTGACTGAATCTAACAGTAATGTTGCTGGCAGCCAAAACAATGTTAGAAAGATTTTCTGTGGGTTTGTCACTATTACCAACCATTTCTACATTACACATATCATATGTTTTGTTGCAGTGACATGATCCAGTTCCGTTTAACTGCATAGAATTAGATCTGTGTAAACATGCCAGAATCAAAGCATGAAAGCTCAGCCATCAAAGTCTTGGTTTCTTGCTGTGTGTCTGTATCTTCTCTCGCAGTCACTGCTTCATTTTATGTGCAAGATACTTTTCTTTTCTGTGACATGTCAGGTCAGCAGGCGCTTCATCCCTCTCATGTTTGCACCTGAGCTCTGCAGCCAACACGCACATCTTATTTCCATTTGTTGGGCTCTTTGTCTTGGAGTGTATATCACAGAAAAACAGTGGATGGTCTCTAGCAGAGGTGAATGTTTTCAAAATGTTTTTTTTTTGTAGAGCGGAATTTTATAAAATGCATTGCTGCATTTTAAAATGCATTTTCTAAATGCATTGCTGCATTTTAAATGCATTTTATAAAATGCAGCAATGGGGGAAGCTAATAGAGACACATGGAAATTATGTGTTATTCAGTTGCTTTTGGCCATTATACTGTACAGTATCATACTGACAGGCTCAGAAGAGTTGTGCAGTCAGTAGATTTAAATCTATTTAAATTCTCCATTAAAAGGCATTGACATTGCCTTCGTATCCATGGTTGAGATCTGAGTTTAGACAGTGAATTCATTTCTGATTTCTGAAATTTTAAGTAATAAATATATTTAAAAAACTCTGAGCTGAGGTTCATAGTCTTCAATGCATTTTAGCATCATCAAATAAAGTATTCAATTCAATTCAATTCAATTTTATTTATATAGCGCCAAATCACAACAACAGTTATCTCACAGCGCTTTTCATAAAAGAGCAGGTCTAGACCGTACTCTGTGATGATATTTACAGAAGCCCAACAGTTCCCACCAAGAGCAAGCACTAGGCGACAGAGGCAAGGAAAAACTTCCTTTTAAGAGGCAGAAACCTCGAGCAGAACCATGGCTCAGGGTGGGCGGCCATCTGCCTCGACCGGTTGGGGTGAGAGAGAGAGAGAGAGAAAGAGAGAGAGAAGAGAGTGAAAGAGAGAGAGAGAGAAGAGAGAGAGAGAGAGAGAGAGGGATGTAAGGAGAGAGAGAGGGGAGGGAGGCAGCCTACACAATATACACACAGAGGTACAGACAGCGAAGGTAATGTTGCTATAAACTAAATGAAAAATGGTACAGATATTTATAATAGTGTTAATGGTAACCATCGTAATGTTAATGATTATAATAACAATAAGACTAGCAACAATAGTCGTTGCAGTAGAGGGTGTCGAGCAGGAACACGGGGGCAGCAGGCGACCCGCAGCCACAGATCCAGACTCCACAGCTCCAGAGCCAGAAAACCTGCAGGAAGTGATAGGAGGAGAGAGGAGAGGGACGAGAAAGCACAAGACTACCAGAAAGGGGAGAAGTTGTGTTAGTAACATGCAATAATGGGATAAGGTTGCATACAGAGGGAGAGAAAGTAGAGGAGAGAGGAGCTCAGTGCATCATGGGAAATCCCCCGGCAGTCTAGGCCTATAGCAGCATAACTAAGGGATGGTTCAGGACTACCTGAGCCAGCCCTAACTATAAGCTTTATCAAAGAGGAAAGTCTTAAGCCTACTCTTAAATGTGGAGATGGTGTCTGCCTCCTGAACCCAAACTGGAACCTGGTTCCACAGGAGAGGAGCTTGATAGCTGAACGCTCTGGCTCCTAGTCTACTTTTGGAGACTCTAGGAACCACAAGTAACCCTGCATTCTGGGAGCGCAGTGCTCTGGTGGGGTAGTAAGGTACTATGAGCTCTTTAAGATAAGATGGTGCCTGACCATTAAGAGCTTTGTAGGTAAGAAGAATGATTTTAAATTCTATTCTGGATTTTACTGGAAGCCAATGCAAAGAAGCTAAAACAGGAGAAATGTGATCTCTTTTCCTGGTTCCTGTCAGAACACGTGCTGCAGCATTCTGGATCAGCTGAAGAGTCTTAATGGACTTTTTCGAGCAGCCTGATAATAAGGAATTGCAGTAATCCAGCCTAGAAGTAACAAATGCATGGACTAGTTTTTCTGCATCATTTTTAGACAGGATGTTCCTGATTTTCGCAATATTACGTAGGTGAAAAAAGGCGGTCCTTGAAATTTGCTTAATGTGGGACTTAAACGACATGTCCTGATCAAAGATAACTCCAAGATTCCTCACAGTGGTGCTGGAGGCCAAGGCGATGCCATCCAGGGAAACTATATCTTTAGATAATGCGTCACGGAGGTGCTTAGGCCCCAGAACAATAACTTCAGTTTTATCTGAGTTTAACATAAGAAATATTCTAAAGCAACTACTGTACTGTGTTGGAACAAGCAGTAGATTGAGTGAAGTGAAGTGTCTGGTTTCCAAGTCAAGGGATTTCAAAACCTTACCAGTTTTATAAAATGCAGCAATTTAAGGAGATTTTACCATGCTTACATCGTGGCTCTAGGGATGGCTATGTCAGTCTGTTGGTTGGTCTACCACATTGGCCCAGAATGAAATGTCTTCACAACAATTGGATGCATTGCTATGAAATTTCACGCACAGGTCCCCTCCCTGACTTCATCTGGCAACACCAGCAGGTAAAAATGTTCACTTACCCACTAAAATATCTCCGCACCTACTGGGTGTATAACCTTTGTGCAGACATTAATGGTTCCCAGATGATACATCTCTATGACTTTGGGGATCCCCTGATTTTCCTGAAAGTTAACACATTTGTTTTGGTGTAAATTATATCAGGTCAAAGTTTTAATTTGTCCAAATACCTCCAAAACTAATGACATTCCCATCAGCCTCAGCTGTAGTTTGTGTTAAGTGCACATAAGTGCTTATCATAATGCTGGCATGCTAACACGCTGAATGCTAAAAACCTGGTAAAAAAATCATTTCTACATTCACTTCACCATGAGAACTGAGGGTCAAAAGCAAGCTTCAGACAAATTATTTGGCTTTCTTTCTAATGAGCATTATAGCCTCACAAAGCGGCTAGCTAACTAGTTACGAACTCTCAAGCAAGTCTTTCAAATGGACGCCTTGAAATTAAAATGAAATGATGCAAGTGAAAGTTGTGCCACTTGAGCTGAAGAGCTTTGATGTTGAACACCTTCAAATGAAATTCATGCTTACTGCACCACATTCACATTTTATGAGTCACATTTTGGTGGTTTTGGAGGATTACATGAAGTTTATACAGATCGTGTTTTGGAGCTTTTGGTAGTTGTATTCCTCAATTTCACAACCTTTCTGTGTGAACAGAAATTGGTTATGTGTTTTCCTTCACTGTGGTGAGGGATTGTGTTTTTAAAAGAAGTCATGCAGGGGGATTGTTGTCCATCCCCTACTGCCCAATAGCATTTATCCTGAAAGATACAGTATGTATATATTGATAGATTTTGTTATAAAGATTTATTTTCTACATGAAAACAACTTGAACCCTTTATAAGTGCAGACTTAGACTAAATTTTCAAAGTTGAACACATTTGTATTTCATGAAACAAAGTATATGACCAGCGAGCAGCCGGGCTCAGATCTGGAATACCTTCAAATCACCTATTCCGCAGTGGTAATTTGGCTGGTACACTAGCCGGCCGCGACTGAATGTTTGACAACAGCGAACATTAGTTTGATGCATGAGAGTTAGAAGGCTGATTTGTTACAGCAGAGCTATAATTTAGCTGAATGTTTCTGACACCTCTATTAAATGCTCTGGTTTTGAATACACACCGTATCCCATCAACATTCATAATGGTAATGTAAGACAAAGACACTTGTCATGAGAGTAAATGAACAGCTAACGCAGCATGCTATGCAACGTGCCGAATGAGGAATGAAGGAGAAAATGAGGCAGCAAACTGCAGATATGATTGGCAAGTGAAGGGAAGCCAGAGCAGGTCATAAAGACAGATTAATGTGTGGATGTCAAACTTGTTTGTCAATTTAACTACAGCTACAAAGACCAATGAGACGTAAGACATGTACACGGAGCGAAAAATTCAGATGATCTAGCCAAACCCGATACCTGTCCTTAGAAAACCTTTGGAATGAACTTAAACACAGCACAGAAAGAGCATCCAGCCATCAACTTAATTTCTACGAGCTCAGCAAGGCGCTACATGTCCCGTGATGAGTCACTGTCACAACATGTAGCAGCTGCTATTAGGGCCAAAGGTGCACAGCACTGAACAGAGGCTCTTTTGTTCTGGCACTGAGTGTATTGCTCAGTGGTTTTTTTAAGGCCTAATGTGCTACTACTCACTAACGAGTTTAACAAATGACACCTAAAATATAACAGAGAGCTGATCAAAATGAGTTACTTATTTTATTTGAAAACATAGCAAATGCTTAATACATTATCAACCTAGTATATACAATTCTCAATCACAGTAGTGGCAAAATAAGTAAGCAGAAAACTAATGTTTATAAATTAATTCAGGTATAAATTAGATTTTTTCCCTTGCAAACATCAGTATGAACAATGTGTCAATGACTGCATGGCTTAAATGACTTACACTGTAGAGACTTGTTTCTGGAAAGATTAAGTGTTGCCCAACATGTCCTGTAGAGAACACACGACCTCAGTTTAAGAACTACGAACATTTAGTAGTTCTCTAGCTTTTTGCCCACACAAGGGCCGGGGTATGGCTCCAGGGATGGCAGTGTCAGTCAGTTCACCAGCTTGGTCCAGACAGAAATGTTTCAACAACTATTTGATGGATTGCTGTGACAACTGAACACTACCAAACAAAAATAAATACAATAAAAAAAATCAAAAAATAGATTGACAATACTACAAAACCTAAAAGCGAGAGAGAAAGCAACAGACAAAAAAAATGTAAACACATGAAAGAAGCCATTCAGTTGTAACATTGTGATTAACATCTCAATAAGGCAGACAAGGCACTTAGTACTACAATGTTGCAGTGGCCGCCAGTATAAACTGTGTTGTAAAACCTCCAAAATGTCACTGATGTGATGATGGTTATGACAGAAGTGTAACAACAGGCCAGAAACACAACACTAACCGGTGATAACAAAACATGACTTCATTTTGATCAGGTGCTGACCAGACATTGTCAGCTAACAAGTACTATAGTGAGGCAGAGATCATCATATTAAATAAAAACTGTTCTCTACCATAATAAATTAATATACTTGTACAATCTCATTGATCATAAGGCATTTTGTTCAGTGCTTTACATGTTACAATGCTATATCAGTGTGACCATTTTTCCTTTAAGTCAAAATACAAGTAAAGCACAATCTGTACATGTGAAATGCAAGACAGCGAGCACTTTTTAAAAAAATACTCCATGTAGAGAATTTAGCAGCTAAATCACTTTCAGTCACTCTGGTTTTAGAGTGTGTGTGTGTGTGTGTGTGTGTGAGATCAAGCAGGTTCGACTAAACAAGACCCTGCATTTCCCATCAGAGCTGCACAGTACAGTAACATGGCCTTACATAAAAAAAAGGCACTTTAAGCGTACCGGCCGGGACCAAAGACCACTATGGGCCGTGGTAGCCTTGTGCAGTGCTACTCCAACCAGTCTTGGACAAGGCTGAAGCCAATCAGTCTTGGGCGAGATGAAGCTTGCAAGAAGCAACAAGGACACCATGATATTCATGATTATTAATACTCACGCTTTCACTTTCTTTTTGTTTTGTGCAAGAGATTTACTACTCAAGCCAAACACCACTATAGGCAGTAGCCTTGTTGCTAATCTGACCAGAATTAGATGATACTGTACAACAAATTGCCCTTCGGGGAGAATAAAGATAAGCTTGATCGTTGACACAAGCTTACTCCATTAAGGACCACAAAGTGATGAGACTATAGTTCTCATGCATTCTCAGTCATGAGGTTATCAGTTTTTTTTAAAACATATTACCTCTCTTTAACACTCACAGAAGTACTGACCACTGTGAATAGCATTCTCCTTGACAGTCTCGGCTGTTCGCCTTTGATTCAAAGCAAGTAAGGCTTTGAGCAGGTCATTTAAGCTGGCTTCTCTTCCCTCTTTCTCCACCCAGATATTCAGCAACTCATGGATCCTGTCTTCATAAGGAAGGTCCTCTTTGCTTTTGATCACATTGTCCATAATACCAAGATGACGGAAGAATCTCTTATGGTAGTTGACATCTACTTCTTCAAAATACCCAAAGCATTTCCTCAAAGACTCTACTCCTGCAAAAATAAGTAAAAAAAAGACATTGATTCAAGCACCCTGATGTCATTCAGTAATGTAGTTATCATTGCAGTAACATTTAGAGCTTGTAAATAAGGAAGTACACCCTCATGAAAAACTGAGGCTGAATCTCCATTGTTGTTTTTAAACAGCCATGTACCAGTGAGTCATACTGATCCACATGTATTTGAGTAACATAAGGCGGAGTCCAGCGTTTTAAAGAAAGAATGAAAATAAAAACAATCTTACCATTTACAGGAACAAGACTGGGGAATTGTTCGTCCTCCTAAATGACAAAATAGAGAAAATGTAATTAGTTTCCAATGAAGTCCGTCTTCATGAGTCATACATATGTACCCCGCGCTAAATAGTTATTGGGTTAGATTACCCATGCAACAAAGAACATGTGACTCATCAACACAACTCTGACCACCACAATGACAGCTTGCAACTGTCTCACAACACAGTAACAAAACTGAAGACATGGTTCACAGTGATTAATAGTAATTAGTCAGTGAGTCACTGAGGTTCATCAGCGGGTATAACCACTGTATAATACAACTGCATGATATCAAGAAGGTGAACACAGTAAATGGCCAATAGTAAAAGTCAGTGAAGGTTTTTGCTTCCTCATGTAGAATGATAATGCATTTGGGATCTTTTAACAAGGCTGTGTTGAACAGTTTTCATGCACATTGTCATTTACTGTAAGAATAAAAGTGGGGAAAGTGGATGAGGAGCACAGTTAGACCAGCGGAACCAGACAGCTGAGAGCGTCTGCAAAGCATTACTCAGCAGACACAAACAAGGAAGAGAGCAGGCGAGAAGGAAAGAAGCAAGGATGGAAGCAGGGGTGGAAAAGAGCTGCTGCTCTCACCCTCCTGTTGGGCTGTCTGGGGACCATAGGACAGGCTTTGCGGGGAGGTGCGGGGTGGGAGAGTAAGCCAGTTAGACTGTGCTGGGAGTTACTGGCTGAGCTGCTGAGGCTTTCACACAGCACTTTACGCTCTTCCTCCATGCCGACAGAGGACTTGGCTCTCACCAGCGGCCGGGTCTGATTCAAGCTGCTCAGGCTTCGGGTTTCTCCGTTCTTTTTTTCCTCAGTGGGACAGTTGTCACTGTACTGCTGGGGAGGATGAGGAACAGGTTCAAACACAACTTGTTTAAAAACCACCTTCATATTTCTCAGTCTACATCACATTAGGTAGGGGCTGTCATGTTCAGCTTTATTTCTGAAATAAAATCTCCATAAAATCTGAGGAAACTTGCGTCATTGCAGTCCGCTTATTCTACTGCTCTGCACTCATTGTATTTAATCAGTACTGTCAAAAATATTATAAGTGACTCACCTGTCCAGCTTTTGGACCATCAGGTAGATTTCTCTGAGAATCTGAACAAAGGATGTGAGGAGAGGATTATGCAACTTTAAGAAATTCCCTGAAAGTCCACAAGCAGCTATTTTACAGCACTTCTGTGTGACTTGAATTTATCTTAATGAGTAAATCAACACTGAACATCAAAGGGCTGCACCTCTGGCCCCACCTATCAGTGGTGCCAGAGCAGGGGTGTTTCATAAGTCAGCTCTGAAACCTGACCTTTTATAGCACCAGTCTGTGCTGGACTGGGTGGAGTACAAACAGCCTGGTAAATGGTACAGACTGGGGGAAAACACCTTCACATATATTCATGTCTTTACAGACAGTGGTTTAAAATGTTTATTATGTAGGTCTACTTGATATATTTCGTTTTATCCTACTACACCTTTTTCCAACATCGTCTGCAGAAGGATTAGCACATCATTATGCATTAGCACATAAGGGTGCCCTGACTGATCAGCCACCAATCGTTATTGGCCGATATTCGTTCTAAATAGTACGATCTGGGGCGTCTACAGACAGATCAGAAGTGCCGATCATTGCCGCCCAGATATATTAAGCCATTTTAGCATTTTGCACAGAAACACTATTAACTGGTATTACATTAGGGGACGTGGACACGGTGGATATTTTACAAGCACAGCCCCGGTAAATCAACAGTGAGCACACCTGTTGGTGCAGATCACATTGTTTTGACAGGCTACGTCATTAATAAGCCTGCTCCCCCTCCATGCTGCTCACCTGCTGCTGTGACGGAAAAGCAAGTAGGAAAAAAAAACAATTCTAAATCTTGAGATGTGTTTTTTGGGCAACTTTGTAAAACAAGAATTAAAAGGATTAAGAAATAAAGCTACAATATAAATAGAAGGCTTTAAATAGACCCGGTGATCTGTAAACGTATTGAGATAGGAGCACCCTTAGTGATCATGAGCTGTCATACCTGCCAGTTAAGCAGGTTTTTTGGAGCAACAACAACATGCAGCATGTTTGCACTGCTGTGACATCACTGTTCAGTTTTCATTCCTGAAGAATTCACTTCCTGTGGTTACGCCCTGTGAGTCGCTACACTCCATGTGGTGTAAACAGTCTCAATTGTGGCTGTTGGAGTAAACAACACTTAGTCCATTGTTGTGTTTTAGCTAAATCATGCTAGCACTTTTTTGAAGCTTAATCAATGGGTTTGAAACAGAAGCCAGAACTTGATGACATCACACCGCCTTGGGAGCTATGAAATTGTGATGAGATTCTTTTATATTTTTACAGTCGACTAAAAGGATTGATCAAGAAAATCGACTGATCATGAAAATAATCGTTAGTTACAGCCCTAAAACTATTAATTGCCTTATACAATTCATTTTTCTTACATGTAGAATCATACATTTTCCTTTGTGAGACTGGGTTTAAATGTATAAATTTATGACACAGGGGAAATGCTTGACTGTGCTCTCAAATGTCTTTGCGGTTCCAACTGAACAGCATTTATTAATGCATGTATTAGTACCCAGAAAAGGTGTTCTGGAATATCACAGTCTTTAGTTTCTGCACTTGACAAGAATATTGTTTGATTAAAAGATCCGGCTTCAAGAGGACACTTAATTTTCTGCTGTAAAGGAACTTTAGCCTCCTTTTAGCCTTTAGCAAGACATGTAATTCCATGGTGCGGCAAATTCTGGTTGTCAGAAATAAAAATGTGTGTCACATTACATGCTGCAATTTCCCTTAAAAAAAAAAAAAAAAAAAAATTGCCAGGTTTTAATTTCCTGATTGCATCTGTTCAGTGTATTCTCATTCAACTAGAGCCTATTCATTAAAAATACATATATTAAAATGCTTTAAGAACCTAAAATGTTTAGTCACATTGAACAGCTCTTTCCCCGCAAAACAAAATGAAGATAAGGATGTGAAATATTCGCGTTATCTTGCTTTGTTTTTTTCACTTTCCACTTACCTGTTGCTCTATGACGTCGGCACACGCACACGGCCATTACCACCACAATTGCCCCAGCAGCTAACAGTGACAGTGTCACAATCACCCAGGTATTTGCTAATAAAAAAAAAAAACAGTAATGAAGCATTATTGCCAACTACTAGCACCACAATTCATAACATTTTGATTAGGAACAACTTTTTTTGCCATACACTTCACACACATGTTTAAAGGGAGCTGAAAATCAGTGCTTTTAAAAAAGAAAATGGGCTATATTTTTTCAGTGTAACAAAAAGCCATGCATGTCTCCGGTGATAACTGGTGTCTTTATAATGTTTCAGGTGGCGTCAGCTTCCACTAAGACGTGTACCTGAGGTAGAGCCGGAGCTGGGTTGGATTTTCTTGCACTCCGTGTTGGTAGTGGGGGTGCAATTTCTCCCTATCACTTCATCTTTTCCACACCTAGTTTGGAGACAGGCAAACAGATGAATCAAAAGCATAAAGGAATTGAAATGAGTCAGGATGTCTTAGGAACAGGCTCCAAATGAGAACTGAGTGAAATGAAAAGGATTATTGTCCTATAGGTGTGTCGTCCTTTTGGTTTGCCTCGACTCACCTTGAACACTTCTTGCACACCTCACACGCTTGGTCAGGAGCACAAAATCCTCCCGGTTTGCACTGACATTCAGTATCTTGACTCGGAGTACATGGCTTTACAATTTCCTGATCTGAGAAAGCAACATGAAAAGGACCTTGTTAAATCTGAGTTTATGCTCGAAGCACTTTGAAAAGGTTGAATATTGATTTCCCTTCCACGGTCATTTCAATCGATAGCGTAAAGCCGTCAGCAGAATTACCCGAGTGACACAGTGTGCACTTGAAACAGTGCTCCAGTCCATTGGCGTGCTCAGTGTATGTCCCATAATCGCATTCCTCACACTTCCCCTTCTCTCCTGCGATGGTGCAGGGCGATTTCATATGGGTACCTAATAACACACACAAAAACCAAGATCTAATTAGGCCTCCAAAAGAACCTGTCACTCTAGCTAAATAATAACCAATCCCAATCAACCTCAACCTGCTCTGGTGATTGATTCCTGATTCGAGCTGGTGACAGAACTTCAGTCTCTGCGGACTAAAAGTGCTGCTCCATGTGGCTTACCAGCTGGGCAGTTTAGACAGCAGATGTTGCCGTTCGGGTACTCCAGGCCGTCTCTGCAGGTGACATCCCGCCTTGTCCTGCTGCCTCCCAAGTCAGTGCCAATCCGTGGAAATGCCCCCGTGGGCGAGAGGGGCCAGATCGATACCAAAACCTTTGGGGGGAAAAAAATAAAAAATAAATAAAAATAAGTGATTGTTTGCTACCTTTTTTGGTTTCAGTATCAGTTTCATTGACCATTTGTAGAGCTGAAACTATTAATTCATTAATTGACAGAAAATGAATCAGCGGCTATTAAGATTTATTAATTTTAGTAACTTTTTAAGCAAAAATACCTTAAATCTATAAGATCTGCCCGTTTGCTTGGAAAGAATCTTTTGGGTTTTTGGGACAGGAAAAAACAAGACATTTAAATATGTCAACTTCTGCTCTGGTAAATTAAAATGGGCAATTTTCTTTATTTAATGGACATAAAATATTTGACATTTAATAGACCAAACGATTAACAGAGAAATATACTGGCAGACTTATAGACTGATAATGAAAATAATGGCTTAATAGTTAATACAACTAAACGTCTGAGTCACCTTGGCCTTAAGGAGAAATGCTGGAGATTGTGAATGGACATTTGTCACTAAACAATATAGATAAAACACCTTATCAATGAATTGACAAAATAATCAGTAGATTTGTCAAAATGAAAATAATCTTGAGTGGCAGCTGTAACCCCCCCGCCCTTGGTGTCTTTGTTCATTTTATAAAAATATAAAATTACCACCATTAACTACACTGCCGACATGAGAAAGTCACCATTGTCTAAAAACAATATTATTTTACATATCAGTGTGATTTTGTTTATTTAGTCCTGAATGTGTTTCTAACATTCATATTTGTGTATTTGTTAGCCTGCACCTTTGATGGCAGTCTGAAGTCCTTTTGTAAACACATCAGTTCGGCTCACAGGAAATAACTTGTTTCTCTAAAGTTCTAATAGTGCAAAAATAAAGAGAATAATATGGAGGAGTCATCCCCCTCTAAAAAGCATCCTGCTTCATGGAGATATGATTAAGATGATGCAATACTTCAGACTGTGCCAAGAGAAAGTGCCTCTGACATTAACAAGGTTAGAGCAGAGGTGCATATATGACTGGAGACAGGGGATTTCCTTTGGACATGCTTAAATGCCGTTGCCAGAGCACGGAAACAGCCTGATGAATTTAGTATTGTGAAAATCAGCTAAGTAAGACAACCCTCATGAATGTGCAGGTCTCACAAGACATGATTGGAGCAGGGTGTGTCCAAATACAGTCAGACCAGGTTGAGGGAATAACCAAATAAGGTAATCCTGCACCTACATATTATTTCCCAACATTATCCACACTGTCCTACTTTACTAAAAGATCTCATGCAGGGACTCCTCGCTACCAGGGCTTTAGTGACTTATGATATTAAGATTATTACACAAAAACAAAGAGTTTATAATATGAGGTTCTGTTACAAATTAAATGACCAAACAGTTTATACAAGCAGAACTGAAACAATTGGTCATTTCATCTAAATTAAACTGACAGCATTTCTCACTATTTTCTCAATTATACATACCAAACAATATAATCATCAGTAACAGTCTGACACAAAATACTTCAAAATTAACTCCACCTCAAAAACTGCAGTAGCAAAATACTGCCTTTATATTAATGCATGAGGAATGATGGAAAAAATCTAATGAAAATATATTAGTAGGCTACATCAGTCACAATTAAGGGATATGTTGCATTGAGTACTTTTAAATGAATACTTTAAGTACATTTTCCTGATTATACATACATAGACTACTTTAGTAACATTTTCAATGCAGACTGTAATTGTGACAGAAATTTTGCAGTGTGGTAGCACTTTTACTTAAGTAACGACCTGAATACCTCTTCTACCAGTGACAAACACGCGCACAACCACACATACAAACACACTTTACCATACTTTGCCATGCATGAGGCAAGGAGGAATTACTATGCACCGAATTTAAGAGAGATTACTAACAATTCATAAAACGTTGTTTGCCCCAGAATTTAGGTTTGGCACCTGCGCCAAAGTTTATGAGCACTTCAAATGGACGCATTCTTAAATGGAGATTTGGGCAACACGCCAGAAAGTCACACGGTTAATAGTCATTTAACCTCAGCGGTGAAACATAATAGCCGAGCAGCTCACCGACGTGTTTAGAGGGAAAATAGCTTGAATGAACTAGTTAGTGTGTGACGCCTATGAGGAATTTCTCATCTGGACTCAGACAGCGTGAGAGGGGCTCTGACAGATACATGTGACATTCTGCGAGGGGCACAAACCAGAAAATGGGAAATCCCACAGGCTACCCGAATTCATTTCCCTTTGGCAAATGTACTGATGCCATGATTGCCATTTCGGTATTCAGCCAAAACAACAACAACCACTTCAGAGAGCACACCTTACTGCCCAAACAAACAACAACAACAACTGATTTGGTGATTAAAGTCCAGATGAGCGCGATGTGTTGTGACTCAACACAACCGCTTATGAATTGCTTTGCCCTTTCAGGAAATGCTATCCACCTAGGAGCTAAACACAAGTCCTTTAATAACTCCATTACAGTGTCAGGAGCTGCGCCCACAGTAAAAGCAAACTTTTGATAGACACTTACCAGACACACCAGGAACGTGGTCATGCTTTGGAGATGAAAAACCCCGCAGACTTCAAGAGACTCGTTTCAAAACGTGAGGCTAAATGCTTTGACAGGCGTCGCGTGTGCTCCTTTCCACAACTTCAGCGCAGGTGTGCTTTCATGACGTAAGACCGGCGGGGCGGGGCCACAGCCTGAATGACAAAGCCACAGTCAGAAACACACACCACTGTTTGAAGTAGTGGTATTCTTGTGCCCATGTGGTGAAATCAGCTATATTGGGACATCAGGTAATTTGGGACAGCATAATAAAAACAGCATTTTACTTGTCTCCTGAAAAGTTTAGGTCTAAGTTATCAGCCTAAGACCATGCTGTGAATGCAAAGTCACATGACATAATTTATGCGTCATCACTTGGGGGTGTGTGGTCTGCATCAAACAGGAAGTTGATCCCAAAAAACAAGAGTTAATAGAAATGACATATGCATAACATTTGATGACTAATATACTGTAGATTTAAATGATATTCAAAACATGTATGGTGTCATGTACCAAAATAAATATTTTGTTTGTAAATCATGTTTTTTTTAAATGACAACGTTTTCTTGCTGTCCCAAATTACCAAACATGGTGTGGTAATCTGGGACAGCTTGTTTCAGGTAATTGGGACAGTGTTAAAAGGCTATTGAAATGAAATTGATCACTAGTGTGGAATCATAAAATCTGATAAATAGAGGAACCTCACAAGTATGTCAACAGAGATGTCCCCTACAGGCATCTTTTAGGTAGATAGAGTAAGATGCTGATGATGCTAATCCCCCACACTGTCTATAATTCCTTATAATTTGGTCAAATTAGCCTATTCCAACAAAATTATGTCTAATCAAGAAGCAATGCTGATGCATGCAGACATTTGCTACTCACTTTGTCTAATCTATGGTTTTATTCTCATCCATGATTAATTTAAGGACTGTTGCAGGGCAGAATGGCACCAAGAAACAGATAAATAAATAAAATAAACATTTTTGACAACACGATGAAGTCTTTAATCATTTTAACATCTCAATCAATAGTCTAGCCTGTTGACATTTGTTGATGTAATAATACATTAAGCTATCACAACAAATGATAGGCTAGTTCATAATATCAAGTAACCTTAGACATATATAATTTAATTTAATTTATGGTTAGAAATAAGTTTAAATTACTTTTTGAAATATATCAATAGAGTTAAAAACAAAGGCATACACTAATAACTGTCCAAATTACCATGTTTGTGAAAATGAGTTTTGTGTCAACCACAACAAAATGGTGAACCGTGCTTTGTCAAAATATTGTACACACTTAATTTCTTCACATAAAGAAAGCAGACATCTTGAGAAATTTATGAAAAGAACAAGATCACAAGATAAGTTAAGATAAGTTGTGCATTAAAAAGCTTAAAAGTATAATTAACTAGATGTCGGCTTACTTCAAGTATCTAAAGTAAAGTTAGGCTACTCTATTCATTACTGTCACTACTATAAAGGCCACTTAGACCATTACATAACGGAAAATGTTGTATTGCATCAAACGTTTGTATGTAAAATCAAACAAACTAGTTACTATAGTTGTCAGATAAATGTAGTAGAGAAATGTAGTGGAGTAAAATATAAAGTAGCATAAAAAGTACTGAAAGTCAAGTAGGCTACATGAAGGTCTACCTCACAGTTGTACTTAAGTACAGTGCATGAGTAAATATACTTATTTTTACTATTTAATATTTGTGATGAAAATGTGGCGATCAAGAAGGTTGGTCTGCTGGGGATATGCAGAAAGTTGAGTGAACACAACGCTCAAGTGTTTTAGAAAGAAAAGGAAGAAGGTCTGTAATCAGATGGGGGCAGTGTGGTTTCTGTAAAAGAGGGTTTGGAAAACAACCAGTTGTCAAAGAGGTGTTGGTGAGACGGGTGAGGAAAGGAAGGAGGTCAGGACTGAAGAAAGGTGAGAGGGGATAGGGTCAAGAGGGCAGGTGGTTTGGCAGTGGGAGGTAATCATTGGGAGAGAGTGGTGAAAAGGAGGTGAGGTGAAAGAGATGAAGAGGTGGACATAGGACAGGTGGTGTCAACAGGTAAGTGGGAAAATGAGGAGCGTATGTCATCTATTTTTTTTACAGAGTTTCTCAGTAGTAGGGAGGTCGGAGGTGGGGGGAGGGGGTCAAGGAGGGTAGAGGATAGGTTGTAAGGAATGCTGAATTTTGGATTGAAAGACTTTTAGTGGCAGATAAGGAGAACGAGAAAGAGGAGAGAAGAGAACGATAGACATGGAGGTCCTCGCCACGCTTGGATTTCCACCACTTTCGTTCAGCTGCCTAGGGATTCTCTGTCAGCATGCACTGAGTCAGACAACCATGGAGCTGGAGAGGTCTCGGCCCCGCCAAGAGGTGAGAGGACAGAGAAAGTCCAGGGAAGAGGAGAGGAGAGGGTCCGTGGCAGAGTCAGGAGACACGAGTGAAAAGGAGTCAGGTGAGGTGAGAGCTGATAGGAGAGATGAGGAAAGAGAGGAGGGAGATGAACTCAGTCTAGCAGGAAGCGGGCTTGTGCTCCCTGTGAAAAGGTGTTGGGTGTGTGGAGCGGGTGGGATCAATACGATTAGAGAGAGGTTACAGTTATATTGTGAGCAGGTGCGTGGTCCATAGTAGCTAAATTAGTAGTAGCTGAATTTCAAGTATTTACACATCAGACAAGGAAAAATTAGGTGTATGGACAAAGCGGAATGACATTTAGCCCTGACAGTGTTAACCTCTTTTGTCTTTGTGTGAGTTTTCTTATGGTGAGTCTGCCGCTTCAAACAAGGAGTGCCTTTTTAAACACAGGTACAGATCAGCTCAATTGACCACGTCATTGAACAGTGAGTCAGCTACTGTAACCATAGATAGCTTTGCACCCAGTGTTGGGCATTACTGTAATAATATTACTTTTCCCAGTAACTAATTACTTTTCTAAAACAGTAATATTATTACAGTTACTAAGGCAAGTAACGCTGCGTTACTGAACGCACCATCCTGGACGTAAATCCACGACTGTGCAGGAGGTCAGCGGCACCGGACCTTCTGTTGTTCATGTCCGCTGATAGCCAAAAAAACTAAAGGAAGAAAGGAGAACAAGTCCAGCCCCTCATGTCCCTGCACAGGACTAAAAATGGAACCTCTGATTGAAAATTTAACCTTCATCTGAAGCATTCAAGTAATATTTTGTGCTTCAACCCAATGATCTGAGACAGTAGTTCCACCCCTCCATCACCAAATGAAATCTTTCTCTGGCTGTTAATTTACAAATGCAAAATATGTCATTAAAAAATAATGATCTGAACAAGGACAGAGGTGCAAAGTGAATAACAGTTCTAAGTGGTTCCCCTCTGCAGCGAGGCCCTGCAGGATAATAGGTAACTGGGACTACTCTACAACGCCTCTCATCACAAACTGCATGAAGTAAGCCATCATCACAGTTTTTAGCAAACCTCACTCTCCTGTGTGTGCCAGTTTAACTCTATCTAAGAAGCAGTTGTCTGCAGCACACAGATATGCAGCCCGACAGGAAGGGGTGTGTTCAAGTGAACATCCTCGGCTGGGATGTGGAATTTGTGTTGATGCAGGCTGCAGACGGAGTTGAAATGAAGCTTGTGCTTAGTTTTGCTTGTGGCTCACTTGGAGCTGTAGTTGAAATGGTGTCACAGTTTTGATGGCAGTTTGAGCGAACGCCGCAGCCCTGATGGAGCTGTTCTAGACTTGCAGTCAAAGATTGGACTCATCGTTGGGTGACTGATGCTTTCATGGGCTGCTAGGCAGACTGAGACATAGAGTCATACAGTCATTCTATGAGGCTGCTGCGGGCTACTGTGCACCACAGCTCAAGATCTCATTCTAAATTTTACAATACAATGCTACATTTCAGTTTTCCAATTTTCTTTCATCTACTGCATGTGAAAGAATTTCTGCACCATTTACCCACGCACGCTGCTGGAACTTGTGTTTTTGATGATAAGGCCAGGGAGGAGGCTAAAACATCTGAACCACCAAGATAAGACATGAATTTTGCATTCAGACGGACTTTAATGCTTTCTGCTCATCTGTTGCTCCAAGGTCAAGATCAATTCTCATGATATGCGAAAGATCTTATTTTCTTCTCTTACAGGGTTTTCTGTGTATGCTAAGAGGAAAGTTATGTTGTGTAGGGTTAAGGGGATCTTTTTGAAGGGCAAGCCCACATTAACTCAGTTTACTCTCCATTTCATTTGAGGATTCATACAAACCTTATCAAAAGGGGAAAAGAAACCTGTATGCCAGTGAACAGGGCATCAAGCCTGGCAAAATTACATAATACAGACTTACAGTATCTCACAAAAGTGAGCACACCCCTCACATTTTAGTAAATATCTGATTATACCTTTTGATGTGACAACACTGAAGAAAAGGCACTTTGCTAAAATGTAAAGTAGTGAATGTATTTTATGCTTGTATAACAGCATGTACATTTGCTGTCCCCTCAAAATAATACATCACACAGCCATTTATGTCTAAACCGCTGGCAACAAAAGTGAGTATATAAGTGAAAATGTCAATGTTTTCTGAGGCCACCATTAATTGCTTAACCCTCTTGGGCATGGGGTTCACCAGAGCTTCACAGGTTGCCACTGGAGTCCTCTTCCACTCCTGACGACATCACAGAGGTGGCGGATGTTAGAGACCTTGCGCTCCTCCACCTTCCGTTTGAGGACGCCCCACAGATGCTCAATAGGGTTTAGGTCTGGAGACATGCATGCCAGTCCATCACCTTTACCAGCTTCTTTAGCAAGGCAGTGGTCGTCTTGGAGGTGTGTTTGGGTCGTTATCATGTTGGAATACTGCCCTGTGGACCAGTCTCTGAAGGGAGGGGATCATGGCCTTTTCTTTTCAGTATGTCACAGTACATGTTGGCATTCAACCAAATAAGTTTATCTTGGTCTCATCAGACCGCAGGACATGGTTCCAGTAATCCATGTCCTTAGTCTGCTTGTCTTCAGCAAACTGTTTGCGGGCTTCCTTGTGCATCATCTTTAGAAGAGGCTTCCTTCTGGGACGACAGCCACACAGACCAATTTGATGCAGTGTGCGGCATATGGTCTGAGCCCTGACAGGCTGACCCCCCACCCCATCAACCTCTGCAGCAATGCTGGCAGCAGTCATAAATCTTTTTCCCAAAGACACCCTCTGGATTTGACGCTGAGCTTCTTTGGTCGACCATGG